CAGATCCACAGAGACAGAACAGATTAGTAGTCACCGGGGGCTGGGTGCAGGGAGCAATGGGTCGGGGTCACTGCTGGATGGGTATAGGGTGTTCTTTTTTTTTAATATTTTATTTATCTTTAGAGGGGAAGGGAAGGAGAGAGGGAGAGAAATATAAATGTATGGTTGCCTCCCGTGCGTGCCCTGCTGGGGACTAGCCTGCAACCCAGGCATGTGCCCTGACTGGGAATCGAACCATGGTTGCTTGGTTCCCAGGCCCGCACTCAATCCACTGAGCTACGCCAGCCAGGGTGGGTGTAGGGTCTCCTTTAGGGGTGATGACATGCTGTGAAACTAGAGTTGGGCTGTTACATAGATTGTGAACGAACTAAATGCTACTGAGTTGTTCACTTAATATTTTTAAAGATTTTATTTTATTTATATATTTTTTAAATTTTTAGGATTTAATCTTTATTGTATTTTTTTCCATTACCAATTATTCACTTCAACATGGTTAATTTAACGTTCCGTGAATTTCACCTCAGCTTAAAATAAAGGAAAAAGGGTTCTGGTAGAGAACAGAGTAGCAAGAATTAGGGAGCTCACTGCTGCAACATGTTGTTTTCAAAATTTTGATATGCTGGCTGCGCGTCACCCCACATGGGGTGACATGTGGCCCTCGGACCGGCATCACCATGGAAACACACATATGCCAGCCCCATAGAGTCGTGGAGGCTCCGGTGGCCAAGGGCTCGGTTCCAACCGGCCTTCACGAAGTTGTGAGATGTTCAAAATTCGGAAGGGGATTGATTCACTCGCTGAGCTTTTCTCCAGACTTAGGAGACGCAGATGAAGAAAACGAGGAATGCTAGGGAAGTGTTCCTTAACATTTCCATACCTCTAGGTTGTTCAAGTCTTGCGTGATGTTCCTCAAACCCCAGCTTCTTCATAATGACATTCAGGGCTCACTAAAGAGCTGAGTGCTTCCCCTACAGTCTCAAATGCATAAACCACAATCACTTTTGTTAGGGACTGAATTATCACCCTCTCCCAAATCTGTATGTTGGAATCCTAAACCTCAGGACTGCAGGATGGGACCTTATTTGAAGACACACTCTTTACAGAGATAATCCAGTTAAAATGAGGCCATTAGGGTGCTTATTAGTATGGCTGGTGTCCTTATAAATAGGGGACATTTGGATACGAACACACACGTGAAGGGAACATGCTGGGAAGAGACACAGGGATGGGACAGCCACCTACCAGCCAAGGGCGACCCTCCCTCACAGTCCTCAGAAAGGACCAACCCTTCCCACACCATGATTTAGACTTCCGGGTACCAGGACAATGAGACAATACGTTCCTATTATTTAAGGCCCCCAGTTTATAACACGGTTATGACAGCCCAGTGGCTGGTCACATGAGGTCAACACGTGGTCCTTGGAGACTGTAACTCTGCATAGGGCAGGTCCTGGGAATAAGTAACTTTGTGGCCACAGCCCCTGACAGAACCACTGATCGTTTGATTACAGTCCTTGATCCCCCTCAACCACTACGATTAAGTCCTCAATAAATGCTATGAGGATACCAGTTACAAAGTGGATGTTGAAATCAGTGCTGAGGGAAATGAAGTACGGAGAACTCGAACCGGGCCTGCCTGACCCCATGCCCAGGCCCTTATGAAAAGATGGAGGGGAGGGGCGGCTCTGGCCATTTACCACGTTCTGGTAAATACGCCCTCCTGGGGACTGGAATGTGGCTATTTTAATGCAAAATTAATTGTCAACTGAAAGACTGCCTCGGCCTTCTCCCTAGTGATCGCCTCTCCCTCCAGCTAGTCGCCTTCACTCTCCTCTTGCTCCGCACCTCGTTAGCAATATTCAAATTATCATAAACGATTGCAGTATCTCAAACCCGACACACAACCCCTTTTGGTCAGCTTGCCCCCAGCTTTCTAATTGCTCTTCTTCATTCCACAACTGGAAGGACATCATTCCCAGCATTCGTTACATCGTCACCTTGTCATCACCACCCTTTGCATACATTTGAAACGTGCTTCAATTTTAAACTGAATTCTTGACATAAAATTAAAAATGCTATATTTAATGTCACGTTTAGAAAGTCCTATGTGTTGTATCTTTCTCGTGGAATCTCAATGTACGAAGATTTCATATTCTGAATAGCATCCTGAGATATTAAATTATTCTGAGGTGGGAAGATGTAAAAACAATATTCCTAGAGATTAATTTTGCTTCTCTCAGGATGTAGTACTAGCTTTACATGTGCCGAGCAGGGAGGCTGCTGTTACCCTCCCTTAAACCCACGGCCTCAACATGACCTTGCACTGAAGGTTCAGACGACCTATCAAAAATGCCTGCATTCATAGGATGTAAGGATGTACTCGTTTTCTAGGGTGATGGTAACAGTGTGTCAGACATGGGGTGGCTTAAAACAACAGAAACTTAATTCTTTCAGTTCCGGAGGCTAGAAAGTCAAAGTCAAGATGTCAGCAGGCCCCAGCACTCCCTCTAAAACCTGTCGCGGAATCTTTCCCTGCCGCATTCTGCCTTCCGGTGGTTTGCTGGCAATCTTCAGTGTTCCTTGATTTGAGGCTGTGTAATGTCAACCTTGACCTGTGTCACATGGCCTCGCTGTGTGTGTCTGTCTCAACGTGGCTGTCTCGTTAACAGGACACCAGGAGGACTTCATCTTAACTAATGACACCTGCAACAATCCTATTTCCAAACACTAGCAGATTCTGAGGTTCTGGGTGTTAGGATATCAGTGTATTTTTTGGGTGTGTGTGTGTGTGTACAATTCAACCTATCGCAGGGGGACAAGGTAAACTTCACACATTTGTATTAATTTTTGAGAGAGGGAGAGAGAAACATCTATTCGTTGTTTTACTTGTATACGCGTTCGTTGGCTGTGACTTGCCTGTGCCCCGACCTGGGGTCCAATCTGCACCCTTGGCATATCAGGACAGCACTAACCAACTGAGCTACAAGGCCAGGGCAGCACACATGTGCACTCTGAGGGCAACTCATAAAGTAGAATTTTTGTTTTATGGAAACAGAATTGTATTAAAAGAAAATGCATAAAATATATGCATCTATTTTAAAGCAAATGCCCATGGAACCCCCCCCGCCCCCACTAGAGAAGCCCAGTGTGCCTCTCCTTCACTAAGACCCTCCTCCGGGGCCCACCCAGCACCCGCAGTGCATTTAGCTGTCGTGCCTCCGTGTCTCCTCCAGCGCGTGACAGCTCCTCCTCTTTATCTTTTACGACCTTGATATTTCTGAAGAGCACTGGCCACTTCCTTTGCAGGACGTTCCTCAGTCTGGGTTTGTCTGAGGTCTCCTAATGCTTAGTTGAGGCTATACATTTTGCCAAGAATCCCAGAGAACTGTGCCCTTTTCAGTACATCCCATCAGTCGGTACGTGACATCCTCACGTCTTATTGATCACTTAATGAAGGTGGTGTTGTTAATTAACCACCAAGTTAGCACTTCTCCATCTGTATCTTGTTTCTTGACACGTTTTGCCCACCGCATTTGACATTCATTAATAATTCTTCAACAATTCTTGTGTTTGGTAATTTTTCTTGTACATCATGACTTCTGCCTCTACTAACTGGCATTCTACTATAAGAAAAAGCTGGACCCATTCCCCCATTTATTTGCTCAATCATTTATTTGTATCATGGGTATTTTATTCCATGGTTAATAATCCATTACTAACTTCAGTGATTTTTTTCAAATCGTCCCAAATTTGGCCTTGAGAAGCAACAAATTGGCTCCTATGTCCTTATTTATTTTTAGAGAGCGGGGAAGAGGAGAAGGGGGAGAGAAACATCAATGTGTGGTTGCCTCTCACAAGTCCCCCACTGGGGACCTGGTCCACAACCCAGGCAAGTGCCCTGACTGGGAACCCAATTAGCGACCCTTTGGTTTGCAGTCCGGTGCTAAATCCACTGAGCCACACCAGCCAGGGCAGCTCCTATGTCTTTTAACATATGACTCCGCCTCTCATTTTACAAGTACACTCACTTTACTTTTTTGGCATCATAGATGTTCCAGGCTCATTTTCTAACTTCCCTGCCCCAGCCCTGGAATCAAGCATCCCTCCAAGGAGTCCTAGTTCCCTTTATAGCATTTAGAAATCAGTATCTGAGTACTAGGTATGCTCATTGCTACGCTTGTCTCTGCTTTTAGGTCCTAGCTATGTACACTCACCGACCTGCATCTCCCCACACACCTGTACATGTAGAAACCTCACATTCCTAACATCTCCTGTTCCAACCCAACACCACAGGATTCACTTGTGCCTCTCCCAACTTTTAGTGACTAAGTCCTTTTTCAATGAGAACCTCTGCTTTCAATAAGGATCTTTAATCATTCACAATACATTTACTTGCTCTACCTTAATAGGAAAAGGTATTTTTAGAAGTGCTAACCCAGCTCCCTTTACTAACTAGAGTACTTGTGTATAGTTCGTTTTGTCTTTAGCCTTACACTATACAGTCAAAATCCTATTTTCTAAAGTTGCCGGCTGTACGCTGCTTTTCTTTCCTACTGTCAGTGTGGTAATGTTAACTCACTGGTAACACAGGTAGGTTCATCCATTAGTTTGTAGGTCACTTTGAGTTCCCTGCCCATCGTGTTTGATTTTAATTATTTTTGCAGTACGTGAAACATTACTGTAGTTCTGAGTCAGAGCTAAACAAAAATGTACACTTGAGAGAGGTATCACTCGTCCCTAATACCCCGTTCCCGATCACTGTCCACTCTGCACCCCCTCACTCTGTAGGTAACCCACGTCATTATAGTTTATTCTTCCTGTTTCTTTAGCACAGATGAGCAGATGATGGACATTTTTCATACTACCATCATTACATGAAAGATGGTAAACTGTACTCTTCTTGCACTTTACTTTTCTCACGTAACAGTATAACCTAGAAACTGTGACGGTTCATAGAACTCTTCCTTGTACTTTTTACATCAGTGAAGAACTCCAGTGTCTGGACTTACCAGTTTATTTTATAGGAGAGTGCTCCCAAGTACAGACAATCAGGTCATTTTCAATTATTTTGCAATTACAACCAACGCTGCAACGAGCAACCTTGTGCCTCTGTGCTTCTGCCCGCTGGGAGGGTATCATCGGGGTATTTTCCTACCAGTGGGTTTGCTGGCACAACAGGTGAAAGTCTATTTTGGTTTTGTTGGGTTTTGCGAAGTTTTTATTCAGAAAGGTAGTACTAATTTGCACTTCCATTAGTAACACGAGTGTTTTACAAACACAATGTGCTGTCATACTTTTATTGAACTTCTACTCCCGTAGGTAAGAAATAGTAGGGTTTTAATATGCATTTCTCCAAGTATGTTTGAATTTTAAAAATGTATTTTAGGGACATTTTTATATTAGTTTTTGGAATTCACTGTCTCTTCTCATTTTTTTTTCCTATTACGTTTACAGTCCTTTGTTCTTCAAGTTTTAAGAGCTGGCCTCGTGACTTTGTAACATTAATGAACACTGAATATATACACTGGTACTTTAAAGTTCCCCATAATGACCTCAAAAAAATATGGACCATTCTCTACCATATGCCAATGCAAAGTGAGATGCTGTGCTTAAGTTAGATTCCATTTTCCTTTGAACTCCAAGCACATACAAACTCTTAAGAAACACAGGTAGATATGTTGCTCTATTTGTATAGTCAATTCTTTGTATGAAACAGGGTTCTTTTTTCATTGTTATGGTTTTCTTCTTATATTATTTTTTAGCTCATATAGTCAAATCCTACCCTGCCAACCTCATTACTGAGTCCAAATGGGGCTTCACTACCTATGAGAAAATTGGTATGTTCCAAAGCGGGACATAAATTATTTTTTGAGTGATTAGACACATTTTGGTATTATTTACATTCCTACCCTCTTGACTATTAGAAGATACATAGAAACATTTTTCCTGCTAATAGGGTATTTTAAAATTTAAAAAAAACAACAAAAACCATCTACAAAGATTCAGTAAGTTTCCATATACAGGCTGAAGCAGAAGTGGGTTTATAGTCGTTGCTTTGGAAAAATAATACAATAATTAGTAAATAATAACAAAACAGTTTTGTATACTCACATCTGTAAACCTACTTTTGCCCCACCCTGTACTGTTTATCTAATTATAGGCCACTTTTTAAAAAGCCTGCTAACCACTCAGTTGTCTCAAATTCAGAAGACAAACAGCAACACTATCTTTACAAAGATTACAACTTTGGAATGTTATGCGCTGTATTTATTTTTTTTTTTAGTGACTGATTTTTTAGCTCTTAAAACACATCCATACAATGCTACAAAAATTAATCAAAGATTAAAGATTCAATTACAGTATTAAAGGTTCTATTACAGGTGCCACTGCTATTGCAACACACTACTTGTGACAGGGGTAATAAAATGAGCAGAGAATAGAAAGCACACAGTGAGTAATACTGCTTTGTCAACTGCCTTGAGTAGATGAGATATGTAGACAAAGTGGTAATAAACTAGAGAGAAGTCCGTTCACTACTCACCCCTGCTCCCCAGGCTAGAGGTGAGGCAGGTTAAGGTTGCTGGGGTAGGAGCTATATTTGAGGACTATCTTTTCTTAGGGTATTTAGTGCATGTACTGGTTTTTCTTTCTTTTTCTTTTTTTAACCATTGTTGCTTTTATTATACCTGACTTATGAAAGAATTAGGCTAGACGGCATGAAAAAGAATCACATTAAACTTCTGGAAAAGCTAACAGCAGTTTAAAAATAAGGTCCAAAGAATCACCTTTTTTGTGGTTTAACAAATTGGCAGAACAAAGCTCGGTTGCCTTAGCTTTTTTTTTTTTTTACTCAACACTAAATGGAATGATCAATGGTTTTGGTATGAAAACTTTAAGGAAACAACAGTTTATACTAAAAATACTCAAGAAACTCCACTTCCTCTCGCCTTCCCTCTGCCCTCCAGGAGCAAGGTAAAACCAAACTCAGGTGGGCGGCTCCACGCAAGAGTACCGTGAAAGCTTCACAAGAGCAACTGCTGAACATTCGGGGAGGACCTATGCAGCGCTGAAGTCAGGAGTGAATCGAAAGTAGTTTTAGCTCTAGGATTTCTTTATAGAGCTTTTTTATGGTTTCAATGTGCTTTTGTGCTGGATGAGAAGTAGAAACTATTGCTTACATCAACATAACAGAAATAATATCAATATTGTCAAGAGTTTCATCACATTTTAGCAAAATTTTTAATAACAGCAATTCCCTGCCTGGTATGGCTCAGCGCATTGAGCACTGGCCTATGGACTGAAAGGTTTCTGGTTCGATTCCTGGTCAGGGCACATGCCTGGGTTGCAGTCCAGGTCCCTGGCTGGGGGACACGCGAGAGGCAGCTGATCAATGTATCTCTTTCTTTCTCCCTCCTTCCCCCTGCCTCTAAAAATAAATAAGTAAAATCTTAAAAAAGTAAAAATAAAAAAGGGTGTTAAACATTCTGACCCTTTAAAAATATGCTTATATACATGTAAAATGTATAGATGGATTAAAAAATACATTTAAAATGATGTGGTCATAATAAAGAACAATTTTATACATAGGATTTTATTTTGCACTGCTATAACAATTTCATTATAGACCAAGAAAGGAAATGAAAAAAAAAGATAAAACCACCACACTCAGTAAATTACTAAAGCTTTTCTACTTTTTAACAGGATCTTTCATCTGGTAGATTTATGGTCATATCCCCTTCCAAACAGACAAGATGCTTACCGTATTTTAAATATTATAGGCTACCACTGAAAGAAAATGTTACACAGTCACTGTACATCAAGGTTGAAAAACTGTCCTGCATGAAAAATATTTAGAAATCATGTGAATAAAAAATTATTGTGTTTAAGGAAAAATGAAAGTCCTCATAATGTGCCATTTAAATGTGGACATTCACTCGTTTTTCCTGGAATCGCTCAGGTGTCCGGACTTCTTGCTTCTGCCCACTCCAGTCATTACTGTGTTGTCACCCAACAGTATTAAGGCAAACAAATCCTTTTCTCAAGAGGTCTTAAAGAAATTGTGGACAAACAGCAAACTTTTGGCATTAAAACAGGTTAACACATACATAGCCTTTAAAATGTATATTAAGCATATTTTCCTTGGACTAGTGACAAGAAAAGATGAACATGCTTGCTAACAACATCAAAAAGTTTAAAATTCAGTGTCCAAGCAATTTCTAACAATGCTTCAGTAGCCTTAAGCTCTAAACGGTTTAGAGTTTATGCAAATGCATTAATGAATTCAAGCTTGGCAAATTACACCCAAGCAGGTTATTAAACTATATATACAGAAAGTAAATGATAAATACAGAATTAAAAGAATCCTTCTGCTTTTCTTTATAGCCTTGAAAATTGACAAACTTTTTAAGGACAGTTCCATTATTATTAAACATTAGGTAACCACAGGTGTTGGGAAACCTAACTACACAAACCAATTTAAAATACTTGCGATGACTTTGTAGTGTTTACTATATAATTCAGTTCGTAGGTAAGGGCACAAGACGACATTTAACAAAAATAATCACATCAATTGACCTAGAAATCAAATGCAAAGAGATATGAATACAATCTCCAAAATCTGTCTTTTTAAGTGAACGTTAACCATTTATTCAAAGTTATACAAGAATTTGAAAGAGTAAAGTCTTCTGTGACATAGAGCCATTTAGAACGGTTTCATGTCTCAGCCGAGCAGGAGAGGGTGGAGGAAACCGTGAGCAGGCCCCGTCCGGGCGGCGAGACGGTGACCCAGACTCAACAGCAGCCGCCCCCGGCCTGCTGTCCCCCCTGACTGCCTGCATGTGTGGCGTTAGTAGCAGCATGCTGAGGGCCAATTTTAATGCCGTTTGCCTGGAATAAAAGACAAAAAGATAATAAATGTAACTGGAGCCAGTAAAAATCCATTTAATTCTTAATGACAGAATTTTACCAACAACTCAGAAAAATATTAAGGCAATTTCTCCAACCATTAAAACAACCTCTTTTATGGGATCTTTCTTTTTTTAGAAACAATATTGTGGAAATATTTCTGAAAATAATTCTGTATCATACCAGGTACTGGGGTAAACCGAAACTAGATAATGCTGCTTTTCAGGGAATTCTCACAATGGAGAAAATGTTTAAAACAACCATTGCAGGTCATCTTTAAAGGATAAAAATATGTAAGGCCTATGCTGCTCTAATACAATGTCAAATCTTTTCTCTAGACAGCATTTCTCTTCCATGTTGAATCAGCTGTACAGGCTAAGGGCATATGAGTGTTCTGTGTCATCAATAATTTCTATGATCCCCAAAGACATGGCAGCTTGCCAAGAACCCACACACAGAGCAGTTCTTTCATTCATCAAACTCACACTTATGTCTTAACCCTCACTCCCTCAAGTGGATTTTACCTAAAAATACAACACTTTGAGAAAAGTAATACAGTAGCTTCAGAAATTAAGCTCTTAAGGAAACTTTACGTCACAGTAAATCTCAGATTTATAGTGCTTGGCAGTTGTTCTGCAACAGTAGTAGCCTTGGGGTTTCTGGCACTAGCTCAGTATTGACAGCAGCTGATGTGGTTTCTTTTCGCTCTTTTGACTCCTCTTTAATAAAAAGCATGCCCTATGGCTCATTGGTTTTGCCCCCTCTGGGCTAGTAGCAACTTCTTGAGGAATCAAGGAGTCAGGCTTGGCAACAAGCCAAATAAATCGCACGGCCTGTTGGCTCCTGACAGCACATTACAATCAAAGCTGCACCACGCACAGTGCAGCAGTCAGCTACTATATGAAACCAGACAGAAACAATGAACGTGCACTTCTATACAGAGGCTCAATTACTGTTCCATTTATATGGCATTGGTCTCTGAATGTTGTTGCCTCTAAATTAACTCAAGATCTAGGAGGCAGGATTTAGAAACCACAACACTCCAAATTAAAACAAATACTTTTTGGAAAACTTAGGCAAACTGTTGTATAATTTTAGTAAAGAACATCAAGACAAATAATGCAGAGCCTCATTTATGTATACGTCAAGAGACACAGGCAATGGCTCCCTAAACAATGCTTTCCTAACTGTGGCAGAGTGTTTTTTTTCTCTTGGTAGTAAAGGGTCTTAATATAACAGTAAAAATGCTTATGTAACAGTAAATAGTATGCTACCCCATCCACACAGTAAAATGATGACCACTGGTGAACACTCAGACCTATATGATTCAAAGCTTTACATTTTATCCTAATCACGTTGATCAAAACTGGCTCAAATAATTTTACAAAGCAAACAAAAAAGAAACCAAACCAGTGCCAACTGCCAATTATATATATTAATTTAGTTTCCTGAAAATATGCTGTGCTATAGTGGGAGTCATTTCCAAATTGGGTATTTCCCACTTTCATCCCAGACAACAGGGAGAGCATCTTGCATCAGTGACATAGTACATGCATTACATTTACACAACTAGAAAATTATTCCCCAAAGCAGATGACACCATATGGACATGTGGGTGAAAGTGGGTTTCCTTCTCTCTTTGAAGGATTTATATTATTTGGCTTTGCTTACAATAAATGGATAGGGTCACTTCCTTTAATCTGTTTGCACAAATAAAGTGATGCTCTACTAGAACATAAACATTTAACTATTACAGAACATCCGACAAATTTTCAGATAGATGATTAGAAACTAATGTGTTAACTGACACCACATATCCATTTTATGAATTAAAAAATATTAAAAAATAAAACCATGAATCCAAGTATTAATTAAAATTCAGTTGTACAACTATCTAACCACTATGTTGTACACCTGAAACAATATGAAATTATAGTAAATGTAAGCTGTACTTGAAAAAATATTTAAAAAAAAACAAGCATAAGCTCTGGCTGAGTAGCTCAGCTGGTTAGAGCACTGTCCTGATAAGCCAAGGCTGCAGGTTCAATTCCCTATCAGGGCACATACAAGAATCAACCAATGAATGCATAAGTAAGTGAAACAACAGATTGACATTCTTTAAAAAAGCATAAAAAAATAAATATTAGTCAATATTTTTATATATATACCTCATTATTAATGTCAAAGACTCCTTCTTGAATTTTTTCATAAATTTCTTTTGCTGTATTAATAAATGCCTGAAATACAAGGTAGAGAAATTGGTTCAAGTTATTTAAAACCACAATAGTAAAAGAACATTATATAAAAGCTCTACAGAATATCATAAAGTTCAATATAAGAAAAATCAACTAATGTAATATACCACAGTAACAGTATAAAGCATAAAAACCACGTCATCATTTTAATAGACGCAGAAGAAGCATTTGACAACAATCAACAACCTTTTGTGATAAAAACACTCAACAAAGTAGCAAAAGAACTTCTTCAACCTGATAAACAGCATCTGAGAAAAACAGCTAACATACCCAGCAGCGAAGACTGAAAGCTTCCCCCGCCCAAGAACCAGAGCAGAGTAAGAATGCATGTGAATGTTCATGGGTATTGTTAGCAGTAAGAGCCAGAAAGTAAAAACAACAAAAATGTTCACTAACTAATGAATGAAATCTAAAATGTGGTATGACCATAAATAGAATTGTATCCAGCCATAAAAAAAATTAAGTACCAATTCATACTGCATATGGTTAAACCTTAAGAACATGCCAAGTAAAAGAAGCCAGACGTAAAAGAGGAAATACAGTGAATGGAAGAGCACATTACATTCACAGGAAGTGTTTGAAGAGGTCAGTCCATAGAAAAAGTAGATTATCGGCTGTCAGGGGTTAAGAGAGGGAGGTGGTGGCTGTGGAGTGACTGCTTGTGAGTGCGAGGTCCTGTTTGGGGTGATGAAAATATTCTGGAATTAGCAGTAATGGTTGCACAACATTGTGACTATACCCAAACCACTGAACTGTACTCTTTAAAAGGAGAAATGTTATAGTATGTAAATTATACTTCAAGAGAAAAATGTATGGTGGGCTGGGGGACACCATAACACGTGAGAAAAACCTGTCAACTAGACATATGGCTGCATTAACTTCCACGTTGAAACTAGCTTACTTCTGGTGGTTACTGTTCCACACACAGTCCCTTCTGCCAAGACAACGTATTCTTTAGTACACAGTTTAAGAGGGAAAAATCAAAGGACGTTTATGATGAAGAGATAAAACAGCAGCTCAACTTCTATGCCGTGTTGAATAAAGTTTCATACTTTTCCCACACAGCACACTACTTAATTGACAAAATTAGTGTTAGACTGCTGTAACCAAATTAGGCCTCTAAATAACAAAATTAATCCACACACATTCTATAGCTATACAAAATACTAAAATATTTCATGTAAACATTGCCAATGCTATCTATGGAAGGTGTTTCTAAATTAGCAGATGAGAGATCACAGAATACATTATTAATAAGGTCCTTGTTAATTAACATTCTATGAAAATCCATAAAGAAATCTGTTCTTCACTACCACTGATACAGACCTAATTCAAAATTTGAAAAGTAAACAGGGTTCATGGAGAGGAACAAATCATACCTTTCATCTTTTCAACACTGAAAATATCTGACTGCTGAACTTGCCACCAGAGCTTTTGTTTCCTAATTAACAGGACTGATATGTTTTCACCTTTAAAGGCCTTACAGCTCCCCAGAGTAATCAATCTACTGCAGCTCAATTACTGCACCAAGAACATACCAGTCAGTGAAGGAGACGTGAATGACTGAGGCAGGAGCACAGAGATATGAATATGCATAAACTCTAAGTGGCTGATCGAATCATCAGAGAGGGTCATGAGAATTTGCAGCAAAATAATGAGAAGAATTAATCACTGCAGACTCACAAGGCACTTCGGAAGTGAGTGTGCTTTTCGTGTGTGTGCTGGAGTTAAAGTGAAGGAGAAACTGGCTTTTCGCCAGCTACGAATTGATTTACATTCCTTAAAATTGAAGTTATCCTGATAAATAAGGAAAAATTTAACTTTACTTCCAATAACATGTCGATTACGGCGACAGGCTTAGAAACCAAGCTAACTAAATACTGAAGTCAACAGATTCATAAATTCACAGGGTTGGAATTCCTTACGGGGTACCTCACATGTGTATATTTCACTAGAACATTAGAACCATAAGGTCTCAAAAGTGAGTTATAACTTCATATAAAAATTTGTTTTCAAAGCCACCAAATATGCTAATTTATGCAAACAAATGAACTTTTTGCTAATTTGTTGATGACTCACATTAAAAACTGGCTTAAAAGAGCTATTACATAAAATTTTCCATGTCATTACTAATTGTATTACCTAAACAGTACTTATTCTATAGGAGATACTATATAAATGGATTGTTTTATCTGTATCATAGCAAAAAATATTTAGTATTATTAAGTGATTAATAAGTGATCAACTTCAATAAATCCTCAGAGTTTAAAACCCAATGTGACAAATGTAGACATCAGTATACCTGTTTTAAAAGTGTGTGGCTATGAACTGAAATTATCCAGTTCCCAAATATAATGAACATTAAGGCTTATCAGATAGAGATCAAGTGAAATTTCTAAGAGCCCTGGGTGTTACAATTATTATGCACTAAAGCTGCACAGTATTTCAAGAACTCAGAAAGAGATACATATCTGTTATAATAACTGGCCAAATTTTTCATTAATTTCTTATTTCACTCTAGTCACTAAAAATTAGACCCCATATATATATATTTGAAGGTAGATATATCACAATCTAAAATACCTCCAGAACACAGAAGAAAAGGAGGAAATTAGCAATAAGTTGACTAAATAGATACTACAAAGGCTTTACATTAAAAGCTCATGGTTTAGTAAGACAGTCTTAACTTAAAATTCTGCCCAATTTTAGCCAATTTTAAACAGCTTTTCTATTTCCTAAGCTACAGAAGCAGATTAGGGTGGGGGTGTTTACACAGACAGAGCAGGCATGAGGGTGAGCGCTCTGTGTGCGTGGTGAGGAGGGAAGAGCAGGCGTGGGTGGAGGGGAAGAGGCACCGGGGAACCTGCACAGGGCAGCAGCAGACTTGTGCAGACAGCTCCTGAAGGCCGCGTTAGTGACAACGATCCGAGTCATACAGGACAGCTCGGCATTTGCCATTTAACGTAAGAAACAGAAAATACGTTTAAAAAAACTTTTATTGTTACTCTTACAAGGTTTAATGTTTACAAGGGTAAGATTAAAAAATCTATCTGGAACGCTGATTTCTTTATAATTACAAAGAGAGCAAGCTGATGGCATACCTACAGAAACATTTTAACATTAGTTAATGCAGAACTTTTAAAACATGACATCTTAAAGATCACTACAGGTTTTGTGATATATAAACTAGCATGATAAAAACATTAGATTCACATATACTTCACATTTCACATCCAGCCAATCCAAATATTAATGTCATTAAACAGAAAAAATATTTGCTGAGAAAATGATGTCAAAGGACTGCATTATCAGCACCATGAAACAAATATTTAGGCAGATTCATGATTACAAAGTATAAACAGAGTTCCCTGTAGCCAACTTAATTTGGCGAGCCTCTGGCTTTCCCATGCAGGGCCCCTCCAGTACCAAGAGCCCGACTCTCTTCATTTTACCGTTACCTCTCCCCCTTTGCCCCACTTTGATTAATTGCCACGTTCAGTCCTTTACCTTCATTAGCCATTAACAGCCTTCCGGCTCAGACACTAATCTTTCAGTCCTTGGCAGTAGTTATCTGAATGGTCCTGATAATATCTAAACTTAAGTAAAATTTCAGGGACTTTTATAGCACAAATTAAACATAACAAAAACTAGAAATTTATTATGATTCAAATATATATTTGGCAAACACACAAGCTTAGTATATCCTACCTATATCATTTATCATTTGCACAAGGGTACCTAACTAAACTGTATCTGGGTACTACGGAGGATACAGGGGGAGGATAGAGTTCCAACTGCTGCTAAAATAAAGTATTCAGTTGGGAGAATCTAAGTAAAAGGGCTTAAACTGCTGTGGAAGGTGCGGGAACATATACCTTCTGCACGAGCCGACATAAGGAAACTGAGGGGCACTATTAGGGCGGGTCCGGCTGGAGGCCACGGACAATGTGCTACGAGGGTCTTCGCAGCTGATGAGAGGAACCAGGGGCAAGAAATTTTATTTTTATTATGGTTTAACAGTTCTGAAGGCAAAATACTGAAATTCTACTACAGAGTAACATTTAAATTATTTCCTAATGAAACATGCTGCCACCTGGTGGAAAGACAAAAATTACAGCATCTAAAAGGCAAGAATTCAAAATAAATCAAAGTATCTTAGTTTTATTTAAATACCTTGAACAGATGCTAGAGACAAAGTAAAATAAGTGACTTTTTAGTTTTCTCTTAGAACCGGGAAACTGGAGATAACTAGAATTCTGTTTAATTGTCTTGTCAATTGCTAACAATGCTACGGATATTATAGGCGTCCATTTGCCAAAGCTAATAATAACCAATATTTACACTTATTATGGGATAGACACTTCTAAGTGATTTATATAGGTGTTCATTATTTCTGAAGAAAAAGTAAAAATTTGTATAAAATAAGTAAATGAATTTTAATTTTCTTTCATTGGCTTTCAAGAAAATGTTTGTCAAATGAAGTTCTACCTCTAAGGTTAGCAGAGTGGTTAAGGATGGGGCTCTCGAACCAGACTGTCTGGGTTCAAATCCCAGAGCCACTCTAACTGTATGTGTTGCTTTGGACCCACTGCTTAACTTCCCTGTGAACTCAGAATAATAATGGGACCCCCTTCACAGAATTGTTGGGAAGATGAATGTAACATATTCATGAATGTCATGCAATGAAAACAGTGCTTGCCATGGAGTACTGGATGCACGTTCGGTTCCACCATCGTGAATATTTCAGTGCAGTGATGCGTGAGGAACAAAAGAAGATGGTACAGGCACTAAATGTGAATGTGCCCCAAAACACTGCAGACTAAAGGAGAGGAACGGTGATAAATGCTCTTTGGTGACTTAAAATTAATTTTTCGAGAATTTTTAAAAATCCTCACCTGAGGACATGCCTACTGATTTTAGAGAGGAGGGAAGGGAGGGAAGGAAAGAGAGAAACAGTGATCAGTTGCCTCTGTATCACAGTA